CCTTTTTAAACTGGTTAACAGTCTTCATAAGTAAACGAGACCATCGGGGAGAATGTTGGCCTTTTCTGTACAGTTATTCTCGACGCTTTCATCCAAATGAGAGCTTCTCTAAAGCTGGGCTGTAACTTTACAGTTGATCAAATATGTTGCCTAAAGCAGCAGGTGGAGTTGAGGTAATCTGGTTCTTAAATGCATCTTCTGATGCACATCGTCAGGGTGGTGTCCTGGAGTCATTGGGTGTTTCAGGACACCCTGGTCCAGGCGACCTGACGGAGGTTATTCAGGTCCCAGTGACCTTCTACTGGCCCCACTGGTCACTCTTCTTCAGCCAGAGCCATCTAGATGGTTCCTAGAGCAGGAATGGCTCATCATGTTGGTTTACTTTCAAAGGCCGATGATGTTGAGCATTTTAGCAGATTCATGTCGTGGTTATATCATAGAATACAGTTTTTATTTGTACAGCTGAGGCGACGTCTACAGTAGAAAAAACTTGTTTCCATCATAGTGTCTGCATGTTGACTATATCGTCTGGGTGTATTTATTCCATAACTTCACAGTTAATACTGTGAGAAAAGCAACAGTCTGACTGCAGGCTGCAGATGAGCCGACAAACAGTGAGAACTCGCTGTAATAATCCTGCAGCCGAGACTTTAATTTATTTTGATAATCCAGAGGAAATGTGGTTCTGCTGTAAAATGTTTTAAGATCTTTGATGGACTCCTGAGGACGACTGCAGAGCTGTAATAATCTCACAGTATGAATTTATAATCTGGAACTTATGTGTATCATCGATTTACTTCGTTCGTTGTTGTATAATAGCCCCAGTTTGTGTATTAACAATACATTAGAGTCAAAGCTGAGCATCCATTTGTCTGAAAACCTTTCCAATATTTAATATTTTACTACAAAATAATGTGTTATATTTGGCTCGTGTTTTATATAAAGGACCAGCGTATATGTCATTTCTAGCTACATAAAGAGGAAATACAGTTGCAACTGGTAATAAATGTTATTTATGGCGCAGAGGACAGAATATGTTTACATGCGGATGGTAAAAAAGTCTTTGGGGATTTTGGAACTACGTTCATTACAGCTGTAATTGTTCAAAGATCACCAGGGACATATTTGTTTGAAACTGTGATGCTCGAAGGCTCAAAGGTGTGTGTGTGTGTGTGTGTGTGTGTGTGTGTGTGTGTGTGTGTGTG